TCTCATTCTTTGTGGCATCCCATCAACACAAGAATACAAGAGAAAGCATATGAAGAGGAAGATCCATAAAACCCACAATCAGGAATTAAGATGGAGATTTGAAGCAACCAAATTGAAGATTTACAGATCCAGATTCAAGATTTATTATTCAAGTCAGAAATCAATTGATTAAGGTATGTTCCGCGTTAATTCAGTTTCTTGATGGTTTGACATGAAGATCTAAGCAAGATCATAAAGTTCTAACAATTATAATTTAAATTTTTATTAAAATCATAGTTAATAATTAATTTTAATAGCACATTTCATGAACTTACAACTTTTCAATCAAACATTTCGTTAACTTTTGTGAAAATTCGCAAAAAAATTTGATTTTAATCTCCAACAAACATGTGTTTTATATATCGGAATTATTCTTAAGGGGAAAGACTTATTTATCAAGGTAATCTCCGGACATGCTTGTCGAAAAGTACCTGCAATCACATCCGTAGATACATTTGTTGGTCATTTTACCTAGAGGAATTTTTATTGACAGAAAAGTCAGTTGCTATTAGTCCATTTTTAAATGAGTAGTATCCAAAATAGATTTGAGAAACGCGAGGCATACTTGTAAAATTTGGAAGAATGAATAATGCTTGTATATTATTATTTATCTCTGCATAATGTACAAGTATATATAGCTCCTACGATCTACTATTAATGGATGGAATATTACAATGATGGAAAATAACAAATTACAGTATATTTGTTTCCTAATCAGATCATCTATAATATTGCTTGGGATCGTTGACTTTCTCAATACTCCCCCTCAAGTTGGTGAGTAAATATTGTCAACTCCCAACTTGACCAACAAAGAATGAAATCTTTCCTTTCCGAGAGCTTTAGTGAATATATCAGCAACTTGTGATATGGACGGAATAAATTTCGTCACGACTTTTCCTTCCATAATTTTATCTCGAACAAAATGACAATCAATCTCGATGTGTCTTGTTCGCTCGTGAAATACATGATTTGCTGCAATATGAAGAGCAGCTTGATTGTCACAAAACAAAGTAGTCGGCCATTGAACTTGGATTTGCAAGTCTCAAAATAGGTGTTGTATCCATGTAAGTTCACAACATGCCGCTGCCATGGATCTATACTCGGCTTCGGCAAAAGATAAGGATACAGTTTTCCGGAGCTTACTTTTCCATGAGATAAGAGAATTTCCAAAGAAAATACAGTAACCAGTTGTTGAACGCCAAGTAGTTGGACATCTTGCCCAATCAGAGTCACAATACGCTTCCAATTTCAAATTATTTTGGGAAGAGAACATCATGCCTTGTCCTGGTGTGCCTTTTAGATACTTCAAGATTCGTAAAACAGCTTCATAATGAGGCTTTCGAGGTGTTTGCATGAATATGCTCAATAAATGGACAGAATATGTAATATCTGGTCGCGTAATAGTGAGATATATCAATCGACCAACCAATCTTCTATACTTGGCTGGATCATCCAATGGGTCACCATCGTCAGGAAGCAATTTAAGATTTTGTTCCATAGGAAAGCTTGCAGGTCGCGATCCTAGAAACTCAACATCATTCAAAATATCCAATAGATATTTTCTTTGTGAAA